AATGCAAAAGAGACTCTATCATATTCACTAATAATTCCAGGGCTTCAAGTACTTCAGTAAATGAAAACAGTGCTTGGATAATGGCAAATAGGATAGAATGAACACAAGTTTTCCACCAACAATCACAAATACATCAGCTCTTGGGAAATACTTTCTTAATAAGTTTTCTTCAGCCCAACATAATAAAGGTGGCTAAATTCGAATAAAAACTGAATTCCTATGACAGTCCTTTTCATTCTTTATCCCCTCTCTTTCCGCCTTGCTGTAAGATGGCATCTCTCAAGCCATAGCCTGTGCAGAGAGGGTTGTGAGGGATCCACAAGGCATTAGAGCATGGTATGCATTAAGTTTCAAGGAAGCGTGTACCCTATTCAATAATACATGAAGTATAACTGCTCATCCTTAGGTGAACCGTTTACAGCAACTGATTGAGAATCTTAACTTTTATTAAATGTTTTATTTTTATTACTTTTATGTGTATGGGTGTACTGCCTGCATGTATGTGAGTGCACCCATGTCGTGCAGTGCCCTCAGAGATCTGAAGAGGGCCTAGGATTCCCCTGGAACTGGAGTTACAGAGGATTGTTAGCCTTCCATGTGGGTGCTGGAAACCGAACGTGGGTCCTCTACCAGAGCAGCCAGTGCTCTTAACTGCTGAGCCATCCCTTCAGCCCCAGAGAATCTTAACTCTACTTTTTAGTCTTTTTAAAGGATATCCAGGGCTTTAAATATTTTTCACACCCTACTCCTTCTTTGTCATATCTTAAAACTATTTTCAGATTAATAATTGTGCAATGCACGACTCAACATTTATGTTCAGTATTCAACACTCAGCTGAGGGTTTGGGGAGGTGCAAACAATCTGCTTTGTACATATATAGCTCTTAACTCTACTTTTTAGTCTTTTTAAAGGATATCCAGGGCTTTAAATATTTTTCACACCCTACTCCTTCTTTGTCATATCTTAAAACTATTTTCAGATTAATAATTGTGCAATGCACGACTCAACATTTATGTTCAGTATTCAACACTCAGCTGAGGGTTTGGGGAGGTGCAAACAATCTGCTTTGTACATATATAGCCATTGATTAATAGAAATATCTGGATCTAACTTGAGACTGCACTGTATTACTAATAAGATATTTTATTTTCCCAAAGCATTTGAAGTATATGTATTATAAAGCTGAATTTAGGGCTGGAGAGATGGCTCAGTGGTTAAGAGCACTGGCTGTTGTTGCAGAAGACCCAGGTTCGATTCCCAGCACACACCCACATGGCAGCTAACTACCATCCATAACTCCAGTTCCAGGCCAATCCAATACCCTCTTCTGACTCCATGGGCATTGCATGACGCGGCTGCACTTAAACACATGCAGACAATATACTCATACACATAAAATTTAAAAAGTAATAAAATATTTTTAAAACCTTTTTTTAAATTCTTATTTATTATTTTTATTTTATGTGTATGAGTGTTATTCCTGTACGTAGGTAAGTGCACCTGTGTCGTGCAATGCCTGTGGAGGACAGCAGAGGCTGTCGGATCCCCTGGAACTGGAGTTATGGACAGTTGTTAACTGCCACGTGGGTGCTGGAAATAGAACCCAACCCCTCTGCAAGAACGGCCAGTGCGCTTAACCGCTGAGTCATCTCCCCAGCCCCTTTTCTCTCCTTTTTTAAAGCTTATGCTTACTGTACAAAATAATGGGTTTTATTATAACGTATGCATATCATGTGTTTTGCTCTTATGCAATACTCTTTAACAGTTTTATCTATTTACTATTGTATGTGTGTGAGAGAGAGAGGGCACACATGTCAAAGTCAGAGGACAATTTTCAGGACCTAGTTCTCACCTTCTGCTTTGTGAAATCAGGGTTTCTCTTGTTTCATTTTATCTTTTTTAAAAAAAAATTTATTGAGCTTTTGCACATTTCACACAACAGTTCTTAATCAAAATCAAACCCTTCCCCCAGCCACACCACACCTCCCACTGGATCTTATGCATTCCACCATAAATGTTAAGCCCTATCCTGTCAAGCATTTGTACCCAGATGTCCATTGGTGCAAGTTCATCCACTGGAGTCTAGTCAGCCTAACTAGAGATCATGAGTAAGGTCTAGTCTCCCTCACCCAGTAGTAATCAGTCTCCAACAGTTCTCAGGCTAGAGCCAGCCCACTGCCTATTTCCCTCACTCAGAGAATATACACCTGAGAGATGCCCAGTCCTAGGTGACGCATCTGCAGTAGAACCTCTACACCTAAGGCTCATGGGACATAGCAGAAAGAGGGGTAGAGAGAAAACTAGTGCAGCCCTCAACGCTCACCAGCATTCTCCTTATACAACAGAAGGCCACAACTGGCCAAGTTTTAGTGAGTAAGAGACTGCAGAGTGTGATTCCTTGGATAGGACTCCAATTTTTTTTTTTTTTTTTTGTTGTTGTTTTTGAGACAGGGTCTCCCTGTAGCCCCAGCTGTCCTTGAACTCACTTTGTATACCAGGTGGCCTTGAACTCACAGAGATCCGCCTGCCTCTGCCTCCTGAGTGCTG